GACACTGAGGGTTGCGATCCGTTGCCGGACACGGAAAAAGACAAAAAAAAAAAAATGCACACTGACGGTTGTCTAGGCCTGGGGGAGAGAGTATTGGGGAGTGAATGTTTAACAGGCACAGTTTCCATTTGGGGTGATGAGAATGTTCTGGAACTAGATAGTAGTGAGCTGCACAACACTGTGAATGTACTAAATAAATGCCACAGAATTATTCACTTTAAAATAATCTTTCCTCAATTAAAAAACAAAAAGGATCCACTGCTGGGTATATACCCAAAGGAACAGAAAGCATCATGTGGAAGAGATACCTGCACCCCCATGTTTACCACAGTTCTATTTCAACAAAGCCAAGAGTTGGAACTAACCTAGATGTCCATCATCAGATGACTGGATAAGGAAAATGTAGTATATATACACAGTGGAATACTACTCTGCCATAAACAGGAATGAAATTCTGCCATTCGCAGCAACACAGATGAACTGAGAGAAAATCATGTTAAGTAAAATAAGCCAGGCATAGAAAGAGAAATACCACATGTCCTCATAAGTGCTAAAAATAAATGTATAAATGAAAAGAAAAAGATACAACAATTACAATACTTTGAACTTTCAAAAGGTGAACTGAGGTTACCAGAGAGGAAGGGAGGAATTGGTAAAGGCCATGAAAAGTGATGATGTTGTATGTTATTGAATATAATAATTACTCTGATTTGAGCCCATATTACACACAGGTATTGATATTCAACTCTGTACCACATAGATATACATACAATCAACTATGTTACAATATATAGGGGGGAAAAAAGACACAACACCAAGGTTAAGGGTTTGGATCCCTGTACTGGCCAGCCGGAATGATGATTTCTAGGTTCATCCACATAGTAGCATGTGTTAATACTTCATTCCTTTTTATGGCTGAATATTGGGTCTATTCTTAGTATTTCTGTGTCTTGGTTTTAGACCACATGATCTCTCAGATCCCTTTAGCTCTAAAATAAAATCAAGGAAGAAAACAAAAACACGCAAGCAAAAAACCACCACCAAAAAAAAAAAAAAAAAAAAAAAAAGCAGAGAGAGACTAAACTCCTCATTCACTCTCCTTTTAAAAGCCCTCAGAACCACCATTTTTAATCCATTCACTACATCATGATCTTACTATCTAATCACCTGTTCAAGGCCCCACCTTTCATTACCATAATAGGATTTCCCACCCTCAACAGTTACAATGGGGATTTAAGATTCAATGAGGTTGGGGGGGCATCCAGTTTACAGCACAGTCATGTCATATTTTTTGTAGGAATATCAACACTATTTATAAATTTATTGACACTGTTATAATTAATTATTGAACTTTATGTCTTTATGTGTGTAGTAATGTGCACTCTATTTCCTGATATACTTTTTGGACTCATCTCTTCTTTTTTCGTGATCATTCTTTCATGATATATAATGATCTCATTAATCCACTTAGAAAATCCTCTTCGGCCTTCCAGTTTTCTATTTCCTGCTCATTCTCTATTTGCTTTTTTCTATTTCCATAATTTAAGCTTTAATCTTTATTAATTTCTTTTCCCAATTTAGGTAGGTTTAATGTCATGCTTTTTCTAACTTCTGTGGGTTAATACTTAGATTATTGATTTTTTGAGTTTTACTAGTTTTTTTTTCTGATAGGATTAGTACTCCAAATGTGCTGCAAATCACTTTATATTCATCCCATAAATTTGGTACTTTATACTTTCACGTGACGTATCAAACATTTTTTTCCTAATCTTTGTTATAATTTATTATTTGACCAGTCCTTTCTTTAGATGCTATTTCATAATTTACAATCATATGGTGAGTTTCAAGTTATTTTTGACTTTTTTTTTCCATTCTGGTCAGAATTTATATTCTGGATGATTTCATTTCATTTCATATATTTCCAAATATATATATTTTGGCAACTGGCCAGTATGGGGCTCTGAATCCTTGACCTTGGTGTTATAACACCGCACTCTAACCAACTGAGCTAACTGGCCAGCCAGTGTACTGTTTCTGAGGGGAGCCATGTCACAAAGAAAAATGCTGAGAATTCAGAGAAGCTGGTTAATTCCAAATCCTCACTCTGGCAAAGCCGGCCACACCCAGCATGGAGTCCACTGGGGCACAGTGCAGCCCCCAGGCTGGCTTTCAGTGCCCCCCATCAGCTGGACCCTGGGCACACCCCTCCATGCTGCTGAGCCTCAGTGTTAACTGAGGCTTCCGTGTTCTCCTGGGGAAAATGTGACTGGCCACATTTCCTATCTGGAGCTACGACAGAAGTGTGATATGAGGTAACGTGAAGGGTGCTCAGCATGGGGCCCAGTCATGGTGAGCAGGAATAAAAGTGAAGCTCCTCGGTCTTCAGGATTGTCTTGACTCCATCCTGTCCCTGTATGTTTCCCTGGGGGCCTGATACACCCTGTGTCCTCTCTCTCGGTGTGCCATCCCCGTATCACATCACCTTGGCCACTTCAAACCATCAAAGAAAGGGATTCCAGGGCCCTCCTGTATGCTGAGTCTACATGCAGAGATCAGCACCCCAGGACCCTGGTCCCCTACTCCAATCTGGCCTCCCTGCTTCCACCCTGAGCCCCTCTACAGATCTGAACATGTCAACCCCCCATACTCTTTAGAATCTTTAGAAGGTCTGCCCACAGATGACCTTCCCTCTCCCCTTCTTTCCAAGCAATTGTGCTGCTCACTACACGAGCCACGTGCCCCCTCCTCAATTCCTTGATGGCTCTTTCCCATTAAGGATCCTTGGCAAACATCTCCCCCTCCACAGGGCTCACTTAGTCTCCGCCTTCAAGCGTCAGGTGAAATGTCACCTCCTCCAACTCCCAGTCCTGGATCAGGTCTCCCTCACAACCAGGATCTATCACATCCCCTCTGTGTTCCTGCAGAGGGCTCCTCTCCATATGTAACCAGTAATTGGGTGCTGATTCTTGTAATTCTGCCTCTCTGCAGACTGTCAGATCCTTGGTGAGGACAAGNGGGGTGGTGGCTAGCCAGTATGGGGCTCTGAATCCTTGACCTTGGTGTTATAACACCACCCTCTAACCAACTGAGCTAACTGGCCAGTCAGTGTACTGTTTCTGAGGGGAGCCATGTCACAAAGAAAAATGCTGAGAATTCAGAGAAGCTGGTTAATTCCAAATCCTCACCCTGGCAAAGCCGTCCACGCCCAGCATGGAGTCCACTGGGGCACAGTGCGGCCCCCAGGCTGGCTTTCAGTGCCCCCTATCAGCTGGACCGTGGGCACACCCCTCCATGCTGCTGAGCCTCAGTGTTAACTGAGGCTTCCGTGTCCACCTGGGGAAAATGTGACTGGCCACATTTCCTATCTGGAGCTACAACAGAAGTGTGATATGAGGTAACGTGAAGGGTGCTCAGCATGGGGCCCAGTCGTGGTGAGCAGGAATAAAAGTGAAGCTCCTCGGTCTTCAGGATTGTCTTGACTCCATCCTGTCCCTGTATGCTTCCCTGGGGGCCTGATACACCCCGTGTCCTCTCTCTCGGTGTGCCATCCCCATATCACATCACCTTGGCCACTTCAAACCATCGAAGAAAGCGATTCCAGGGCCCTCCTGTATGCTGAGTCTACATGCAGAGATCAGCACCCCAGGACCCTGGTCCCCTACTCCAATCTGGCCTCCCTGCTTCCACCCTGAGCCCCTCTACAGATCTAAACATGTCAACCCCCCATACTCTTTAGAATCTTTAAAAGGTCTGCCCACAGATGATCTTCCCTCTCCCCCTCTTTCCAAGCAATTGTGCTGCTCACTACACTAGCCACGTGCCCCCTCCTCAATTCCTTGATGGCTCTTTCCCATTAAGGATCCTTGGCAAACATCTCCCCCTCCACAGGGCTCACTCAGTCTCCGCCTTCAAGCGTCAGGTGAAATGTCACCTCCTCCAACTCCCAGTCCTGGATCAGGTCTCCCTCACAACCAGGATCTATCACCTCCCCTCTGTGTTCCTGCAGAGGGCTCCTCTCCATATGTACCCGGTAATTGTCTGGGTGCTGATTCTTGTAATTCTGCCTCTCTGCAGACTGTCAGATCCTTGGTGAGGACAAGNTGGGTGCTGATTCTTGTAATTCTGCCTCTCTGCAGACTGTCAGATCCTTGGTGAGGACAAGGATGCGTTTGCTGCTGTGGTGCTCAATAAGTGACTATTGTGTGAGTGAATAGATGTCTCTACTTATTTTATGACAGTCAGTCATTCTTTTCACCACTAGGTGTGTCTCTAGTGGTCTCATCTCAGGATGCCAGCCCTAAGCCCCAGCAGGCCACATGGCCCAGACATCCTGCAGGGGCTGTCCACGGCTCCCCCTGCAGCTGGAAGGAAGCTGGCTCCTTCCTTCTGCTTCTGAAATTGAGGGTTTGGGATTTCAACCCCAACAACTTAATATCATGTTTCCTTTCCTGTCAGGGCCATGGAGGAACGAGCTGAGCCACCAGGAGTGCTGGGTTGTTGGTTTGCTTCATTTCTTTTAGCCACACAAGAGTGGAAAAGTAAAGACCAAAATATATTTCTTTTTTTCTGTTTTTCCTTGGAACAAAGTCAGTGCTGGGAGAGGCAAGGGCTGCTTCTGTCTGCTCCCAGAAGGGACATGGGTTCTAAGGAGAAAGCGGTTTATTTTGGTTGAGGAGGAGGCCTGCAGTGGCATATCCCCAAAGTGCCTCTGTTCAAGAACTGGACTGAGAAGGGGCTGTGTGTGTCCCTCATGCCAGTGGGCCTCCCACATTCCCCCGAAACTCAGAATGTGCTTCCAGACACCTGCCTGCCACCTTGGGGCTGCGGTGGGGCACGGAGAAGGCTGGCCAGACTCCACCTGCCTTTGTCCTTCAGAATCAGAAATGTCCTTCAAGATGTTGGAACAGACACTGAATCCCTTTGCAGTTTCCTTAGCTGCTCTCTGAAGTCTACACCTCCCACTCCTGTTCTCTCCATAACTGTGCCTGGAGGCTGCGGTGGGTCAAGGCCAGGCAGGCATGTTTGGCGTCACTCCACAAAAGAAGACACCAAGGCCTCAATGGGGATGTGTGTCTGGGAGGCAGGGGACCCTCTGGGCCTTGTTCAAGAGCAGGCATGCCGTGGTTGCTGAGTGTATTGATGAATGCTTTTCTCTGCCTCTGGTGTTCACCCTTTAATTTACATTGTGTGTGCGGCAAAATGTGCAGGGCATAAAACTGACCAGTTTAACTATTTTAAAATTGGCATAAAGTTCAGTGGCATTAAGTACATTTACAAGGTTGTGCAACCATCATTACTATCTAGTTCCAGAACATTTTCATCACCCCAAATGGAAACCTTATCTCCATTAAGCAGTCACTCCCCATTCTTCCCTCCCTCCAACCTGTAGCAGCCACCAATCTGCTTTGGATTCACCTGTTCTAGACATTTCGTGTAAATGGAGTCATATGATATGTGACCTTCTGTGACTGGCTTCTTCTGCTTAGCAACGCATTTTCAAGGTTCGTCCATGTTGTCGCCTGTGTCAGTATTCTTTCCTTTTTATGGCTGAATACGATAGATATGCCACATCTTGTTTATCCATTCGTCTGCTAATGGACCTTTGATTTCCTTTTGGATTACGATTATTTCTCCCCTAACAACACCAGATCGGCCCGCAGTAGCGCCAGTGCCACCTGGGGCGCCTGGCACGTGGTGGGTACTCAGTAAACATCTGTGGGATGAATGAGGCAGTGGCAGAGATGGGTCCCCACCCTGGCTGGCCTCTTATAACTTTCACTGAAGGCTCTTCCCCCACCTACCTGAAACCTGTGAGAGCTGAAGAGCTTCCTCAACTTGCTCCTGAAGTCGAAGGGCCTGGGCGTGGGGACAGGAGTGGCACCTGGGTCCGTGGCCCTGCCCTCCTCTTCTGTGGCTGGCGTAACTGGTGGCTGCTGCTCCTCCTCCTCCTCTTCTTCATTCTCCCATTTCTTGTAGTTGATGTTCCAGGCATGATAGTCATCCCCGACGACAGTGAAGTGCCTCAAGAACTTGCTCATCCTCTCTGCGGGAGCCGCCTTGGCCCTGCGGGTAACTGCCTAGAGGAGCAGGGACAGAAAGCAAGATCTTCAGGCAGGGTGGCCTCAGAGCCCATTTGGACCACTCAGACCCCACGTTGTTCTGATGGTGGGGAGGGCCCCGGCTGTGCTGGGCCACACCAGGTAAAGACAGTCCCACGGTGCTCAGAGCACTGTGTGAGCACAGAAACCGTGAGGTCACAGTGGTTTCTTGTGCTTTTATTTTTGGAGTCCAGGGTATCTGTGTCAGTGAGGCAACAGGAAACCCCAGACCCCACCAGGCCTGTCCCTGTGGTCTGATTTGCAGTAACCAACGGAATCGGTACTGCAGCCCAGTCACAAAATACCCACCACAGGCCCATGTGTAAATACCAGAAGAGCTGCCCCATGGTTCAGAGACATCACAACCTGAAAAGTGGAGGTGAGAGTGGGAGGAGCAGGGGGAGGGGAAAGCCAAAAGTAAAAGTACCCAGAGTTTCACACAAAAGTCATGAGACCCCCACTCTTCACGCCACTGATTCAGTCCTTGACAGATGAGTGGAAATCGACTTTTTTCCATGGTTAGCAAGTGCTGTTTTAAGTACACAGACAGCTGTTTAAAGAGGGATGACTTCAAAAGCAAATATCCCACCCCTTGCCCCCATTTTGTATAACTTACCCTACCAAATATCAAATTTCATATAAACTTAAATAATTAAAACTTATGGGTATGACAACAAGAATAGGCAATATGATCAGTGGAACAGGAAAAGAGTCCAAATAGACCCATGTCCTTCTGCAAGGCTCGAAGAAAGGTGATAGCAGTCCAGGTCAGTAGCAAAAGGCTGGAGAGGTTAGGACATCTGGCTTT